TGATTTACCTTGGTTTAAGGTGTAACATAGTTTTAAGTAAGTATTTTTCTCTTATAGTATGTTTTCCACATTTTTATGGGTCTGAATGAGAAGAAAAGTAAAAATACTCTATGTTTAAATCAGTAGTACAGAAAAAATATAAAAAAATTGATTAATACTTTGGAAATAACACATTTACATTTGAATGCTATGAAAGCATTCATAATTTCTTCACATACGCTTACAAAACCTTCCTCATTCATCACCTGTTATCTCTCTTCTGAGAGTCAGTAAATTCTCGGGAAGTTATATCAGAATATTGAAGTTCTAGGAGTCTTTTTTGTGAATTTCTGATGAGGATATTTTTTAAATGATGATTTGAGGAGCTTCTCTGTTAAACACACATATATGTTTTAGAATAAAGCATGACATCGTGAAAGAGAAAAAGACAAGAAAAGGTTAAAGCAAGGTGATAGAATTGGGTAAACGGTCTGGAAGCCAGTGGAAACAATCACCAGTGGATTGTCTTCTCATTGGCACTGCTCAAGTGCTGGTCATACATCACTTCACTTAGTCCTCCTAAAAATCCTATGAGGTAATTATTCTTTTATTCTTATTATCAACTCTTTCTAAATAAGGAAACTTAGGCACAGAAATAACTTGCCCGTGTTCTCGGAGCTAGTAATTACAGAGATTGGATTGAACATACCAGTCTGGTGCCAGAGCCTAGGCTCTTAGTCACTATATCTTGCTAACTCTCATTCTAAATATTTCAATGGTAAGAACAAAACTCAAAAAAGAAATTATAAAATGTCTGGAATTAAATGACCATGAAAGTTACAACAAAACTTGTGGGATGGATCTAAAGTTGTGCATAGAAACAAGTGGTATTCAGGGCATTAAAAACATATGAAAGATTAAAAATAACAGAGCAAACATTCAAAGTAGATTCTAAAAATATAATAAACTCTAAAGTAGAAAGAAAAAATGATAAAAATAAGAGCAGAAATTTGTTAGTGAGAACTTAAGATAATCAAACTAAATAATAGAGAATCTCAACATAGCATAGCTGAAGAATAAAGATTCTTAGACTAATGACTGAATTAACCCATCTAACAAACAAACACAATTTTAAAAAGCTAAGAAAGAAAATAAAAGACATAATATTAGGAACAAAAAACAAAGTTAAAAGGAAAGTAGATATTTAAATATTTTATTAAAATAATGTGTTTTATATCAATAAATTCAAATTATTAGTTTTTATGGACAATTTTCTAGAAAAAAATTACTAACATTAACTGAATGAAAAATAAAAAATTATATAATAAGAGGACAATTGGAGAAATTTAATTGTTAGTTAAAAGTAATATTCTTCCAAAATCATAATAGAAAATCACTATCTTAATTTGAAAATGTTTTAACTAATAAAAATTTACAGCGCACATATGTGGAAACTTCAGAAGCAGTCCCATTAAAATCATTATCATTGGAAAAATGCCTATTACCACATCTATTATTTATAATTTTGCTGCAGGTCCTAATTAAATTTTTAAAACAATAATAGGAGAAAAGAAACTTTAGGAGTTCTCAATATTTGCCACAAATATGATTGACCAAATATGAAATACAAGAGAAGCGATAAATCTACAAATGAAGAGTTATAACTAATAAAGTTTAGGAAGAATTCTAGATATAAAATAAATATGAAAGGATAAATATCCAAAATTCAATTTTCTGAAAATTAAGTCATACATTGGACATGATTCCTATAAAAATGTCAATCCCTCTTTTTTAAAATAAGAGTTGAGAATTCTGAAATGAAAAAACGAAAAAACAGGTTTGAGAAGAGCAAGATAATTTTAAAGACAAAACGGAAGGTGTAGAGAATTATCCAACCATGTATCAATATTTCCTTTAGAGCTAAATCATTCAGACTGACATTAGGTCCAAGGTAGATAAATAGAATAAGATATAGAATATAGGATAAAATAGAATAGCATTTAGAATGTAGTATAGATCCATGTATACACTGAAACCTGTCAGACATCATAAGTAATTTTTCAAATGAGAGGATGACTCTCTAGAAAAATATAGCAGGTGATGAACCAGGAAGCTTTGGTAACTGTATTTGAAGAAATTATTAATTCTCTTCTTTTAAAAATTACTCAAGTATGTGGCTTAGAGTTTTTTAATGTCAAGCTATCCATGTGGAAAATAATGTTTTGCACCACACAAAATGAATTCATGACAGATTAAAGAGCTGTGTGAAAAATGAAATTATGGAATATCTAAATAAATATAACAGGGTAGTGAAGGATATCTTAAATAAAACACAAAAATCAGTGTTCACAAGGGAAATGATGGATCCATTAACTACGTTAAACTTTAAATTGTGCATGTGACAGAAAAACCATAAACAAACTCTAAAGCCCATACAGGAGAAAATGTTTGTACAGTCAATTCTGCTGTAATGGTCTTTGAAAATGCAAATTCGTTCCAACTCAATTGAAATAATTTAAGCATAATGAAGATTTCATGTTTGCTTATATGTGATTACATCTGGGAAAAAATAAAACTAGGTGGAGAAAAAGCGCTGCACTGAGCTGAACCAAGCAGTGTAATAGTACACAAAATACTCCTCTGTAGACACCACAAACATCTACCAGCTCCCTCAATTCACTGCGTGTGTGACAAGCCACACCCACCCGCATCTGGTGTTATAACTTAGTTTGATATCAGATAACCTTACTTCCCACCACTTCACATTAGTGAATGGACTGTAACCTGTCTAAGGCCCAATTCCAAAGCACATATCTGCTCTTGGACAAGATGAAGTGTTATAGTTATTGTAGTATTTATGTATTTCTTAACCATTTAACATATGGAAAACTGTGCCATAATTTTTAAGTTTCCATTGTTTTAAATTTGTTACTAATGAAGTTTTTCAGTGTGTGCCCCAATTTTATCTTCTTTATAAACCCTGCGATTTTTATTGCAAGATTTTGCATACAGTGGTGATTTGTAGTAAAGTTCATATCCTTTTATGGCAAAACTGTCTGTATACAACACTCATATTAGTAGTTGCAGATTGGATATACAGATATAAATATAGAGAGCTTTCTACAAACCAGAAATAAAAAACAAACAACACTGTGGAAAAAATAATATGGTAGATAAATAAATGGCCACAAATTATTCGAAGCTTCTCCCACCAAAAGATGGAATCTATTTTTGGGTCTTTTGAATCTAGTCATGCCTTGTGATTTGTTTTGACGACTAGAATGTAGCATCTTCTGGGATGACCATGTAGCTCTTAGTTGTAAATAAATGTAGCAGAAAAGTTTAAGAAATAAACGTCTCTCTTTCTTCCACCGCCTACTGGCTCTTCCAGTGCCATCTATCTTCTTTGTACAGTGTTATATGTTGTTATTAAATTCTCCCATTTGCTTATGTAAAATTATAAAATAAAACTGTCTTAAAATGAGAATTTGCCATATTTTGCCTAATTAAAATAAATTCAGCCCACGAGACTAAAAGAATCATGTTTGAGAGATTTTTAATGTTATTATTTTTAAACATATATCTATTTAAAATGTTAATATTCTTATTATAAACTCAAATATATGTCACTTATTTTTATATTTTAAATTAGCATGGCTATTTAATCAGTTGCATCTATTTCTGTGGGTATTCAATTTAAATAATTATCCCCATGTCACAATGGATTGGAGAAAATAAGACAGTAGGAATGGGAGTAAAATAAGAGCAAAGACAGGTCCTTGTTATTGTATCATAATAGAAGGATAAAGAATAGAGTTAGTTTGGTTGCAGTACTAAAAGAAAGCAAGCTATGAATGGTAGAAACATAAAACAAGTGATAAAACTACACACAGGAGTCTCTGTGGTGGGATAAAAAAGAGGAGAAAGAAAAAGTCAAAACAGAGTCAATCACAGGAGAGAGAGACACAAAGAATTACAAGATGACAATTTTTGTAATCTAACATGTCTTAATTTAGCCATATTAGGTGGAAGATGAAGGCTGGACTTTTCTTTGAATGGCCAACTTGCTTTAAATACAATAGGATAAAATACTTGAACTCAGGAGATATTTAGGCTAAAGACAGAGTCTCTTCAGTGATCCTCACAAAGATAGTCATCACCTAAGAGCAGACGAGTTATTTGTGGAAGAGGAATATACACAAAGAACAGAGAGCCAAAGCTTGACCAGCAGAATGTATATTATTCACTTTTATATCTAAACTGCACAGCATTCTTTTTAGAGTAATTAAAATACATACACACATACACACACAGGTCCGCCATTTCTGCAATTTCTTCCTACTGCACCAGGCATCTGTCTAAAGAAGCAGCCAATGAGACCAGGAGATATTTTTGACAAAGTACATTTCAACCTCAAAGGTTCCAGCTGTCCATGATGCTATTCCATCTCAACAGATGGTACAAAGGACTTAGAATGTTTTTCTTGGATTATATGATAGAGTTCTTTAAAAGATTCCTTACAGGTGGTTACTTTCACTGGCATTGCACTTTAATGCAAAAAATAGATTATTTGAAACTTAGTAGCCATTTAAATGGAAAGGCAAGATCTTATTGAGTCAAGAGTCATGCCAATACAGCCATAAGCTATGATTTACTCTGTTTTATTTCTTTTAATGTCTTATAAGACAGGATTTTCTCCATAAAGAAAAAAAAAATAGATTTTTAAAACTGCATCACAGGATTCAATTTATTAACATTTATTTATTTACTCAAAAGTTTTTTAAAAGTCGTAAGGGAATTAGGATTCACTGTTAAGAAGAAGCTTAATTTAATTTTATATTTTACATTAACGGTTTACAAACCAAAAATTTCTCATAGTGCTTGGGGAATGATACAAATGTGAGACTTGCATCCACATTTTCTCATTAAACAATGGACCGTAACAACTACTAGAGGCTACAAAACAAACCCATAGTAGACACACCTCGTCCATGGTTCTAAGCACAGTTTACTCGAGTTACCTGAATATTATGCCTATTTTCCTTTCTTGATGCTTTTCCCCTGTTTCCAGACAGATCAACCTTGTATTTCGTTGAAGTTCCCCTTTTTTTCAAGAACCATAAGGGAGACAGACAGGCTGGTTGGTTTTCTGTCGTTGCTGTGGAGACGGAGTCTCGCTCTGTCGCCAGGCTGGAGTGCTGTGGCGCGATCTGCTCACGGCAACCTCCGCCTCCCGGTTCAAGCGATTCTGCCGCCTCACCCTCCCGAGTAGCTAGGACGACAGACGTGCTCCACCACGACCTACCATTTTTTCAGCATTTTTTTTTTCCACCCTGTTTATTCCCAATTCTTGATAGCAAGACTCTACTCCATATCAAATTTTTAATTTTTATTTGTCCTGGTAGCTGTTCCTTTATTATTCTCAAGTTAGCCAAAAATGGCAAATAATTGTTCTACACTCACACAGTTATTTTATTTTATTTTGTCTTATAGCCTGTTTTTAAATTTTTTTTTTATTTTTATCAGGAAAAGTCACTTTTTCATGTGCACATTCTATGAATTTTGACACATGCCTATGGTTGTGTAATGAACACTGTAGCAAAACCTGAAATGGCTCTCTCACTCCCCAGTTCTTTATTTCCATGGCCAGTGTTAGCTTCCTAAGATTGTTATAGCAAATTACCACAAATATAATGGCTTCACACAACAAATGTAATAGATATACATTCCAATATATACTGTTATATTTGACATTATTACATAAGTTTTTAATGTTTCTCCATAGTGTCAATAAATATTTCATTAGAGACTTCAGGATGTTATTGTATTTGTTGAAATTTACATTATCATTTCTACTATTGTGAATAAAAATGATCAAATAAAAATAAGAAATTAAGATTCATATACTTTGTGTACATTATAGGTTATCTTGTGATGAAAGTCCATCTGCAAATATTATTTTACGGTTTTTGAAATTATATTATTAAATGAATAACTAGGATTACTAATTATTCCAATGTTGTGCCAATATTCATAGTTCATGTTATGTATTGTCACATTGCTTTCCAAAAGTCTGCATCAATTTTAATAACCTTAGCTCTGTAGAACTATACCCAGTAATTGCAAACTAGATATATACTTGGTGACAGATTTTTTTTATTTTTTTATTTAATTTTTTAATTTTTATTTTTTTAAATTTTTTTGAAATGGAGTCTTGCTCTGTCACCCAGATTTTTTTTTAAGAAAACATTTAATGTAACTTAACAGGTTTAAAATCTTAATTTAAGTTTAACTTACAATATTTTATTACTAAAAACAATGAACATTTCCTATTTGTTTTTTCTTCTAAAAATCTTTTCAGAATAAAGCAGAATATAAATAAAAATAAATAAAATTGGTTTTTTAAAATGTTTTCTCTGGTGTCAATTTCTTTTACACACTTAGTCCACTTATCTGTTAGAATTTTTATTTTCCTTCTTTTAAATATGATTTAGATGTTTATTTGAGTGATTTAATTATTATCTAGGAAAGAAAATGTAATTTTTCCAAGCTACTGTAGTACTTCCATTTTTAGCATTATATATCACTTTATACATTTTTAAAATTATGTCTGTATATAGCTATAATTTTTCCTTTTACATTGTTTCTGCTTCGTTTCATAAAACAAAGATATTTATTATCTAATCTCATAAAATAATCTTAGATTTTTATAGCTTTTATATATTATTTAAAAAGCTATGAAATGTTACAGCTTTTATAGGAGTTTACTTCAATATACAGTATTAAGGGATGTAGTAATAATTTTATGTTACTATTAAATATTTGTTAATGATCTATTCTTGTTGCCTTGTTTTGAAAAGCTTGCATTACCATGTTAGGTTTTATATGTATTTCACAACCACTTATGGGATTAAGATAGGAGATGTCACTCAAATTATATTTTTAAATTTAAAAAATTATGTCTAACAGAAATAAGTTTCCATCAAGATGTGCTATTACTACACATAGTCATGTACAACATGTATCCTATTAAAAAAATGGTAAATGTTTGTCATCAGAAAAATCATTTAAAAGAGGTGTGGTACTGTTTCTGACTCAAACAATTGTAGCTATTATTTTATATCACCCTCAGTGTATCTCCTTATTAGGTGACATACTTTTATCTGGAATATAAAAATATTGCTAACCAATATTTTGAAGCATTCTTAAAATTGCACATATAGGTTATGGTTCTAATTATTTGATTTGATATATACAGATATGCTATACTATTACTGAATTGGGTCAATTCAACTAAATCCATAATCAATTGCTTTAATGGTATTTATCTAGCAGTCTCTTAAGCTCATCGGCAGTTGTAGTTTATTGTAATAGATTGATACCCAATTTTTACCAAATGTAGTTAGAATTATATATATGAAAATTGTACATTGGTAGCCTGAGTTTCCAGGGACACAATGACTAGCTTTTTATTCTTTGAAACTTGATATTGGCAATCCTGGTTGTTTGAACATTACTGGAGTTAATCTAAAAAATGAAAAGAAAAACTGCTCTAAAGAATATGTTCTTCATTTATTCACATTGTGAACACGGTTAGATGTTTATTCAGCATTTATTCTTTCTTCACCAATTCAAACAGAACTCCAATTTTATTTAGGTATTCCTCCCTTACCCCCACCTCTATTGCCATACCCCCAGGCCGCTCAGAAAAATCTGAGTCCACAGTCAACTCCTCAGGGGCTCATTATAAATCCATTTTCATTCTTGTTAGTCAATGGCTCAAAAATCAGCCTGTGAAGGAGTTTCAGAAAGTAAGACCAGTGTGAGTTGGGAGCACAATGGTTCTGAAGGGAAACTTTCCTCTCTCCAAACAAAGACGAACAGGGAGGTACAGCCTCTTTTGCTCATCTGAATATTGTTATTCAGGTTTATCCCTTGCCACCAACTTGGAAATGAGACCCAGGCTCCAGAACTGCACATGCAATGAGTGACCTCCCTCGCCACTTCATGTCACCTGAGGGTGTCAGTGTGAGAAAGCGAAGTGGCTCAGAGCAGTCTGAGGAGTGTGAGGTATGCACAATTTATCAAGCTTGGAATAGAACTAGAGTGTCTGGACGGGGGGAGAAGACAAAGACAACTAAGATGGCGCATTTCCGGGTTCTTCATCACCAACTTACCAACGCATGGGAAAATGCAGCCCCCTCTGGGGAAAAATGCAGACCAACTGCGCAGGCGCAACGTGAGGTCTGAAACCTACCTAGCCGCGCCTACGGAACACCCCCCCCCACGACACGCACGCATCCTGCCTACTGCCCTCCCCCTCCCAGGCCCTAGACATAAAAAACCTCTCCCGGCAGACATGGGGCGCAAACTTCCTCGGCCCCTCCTCATATGCGGACCTAGGAACCTCGCAGCAGAACGACGGAGCGACTTCCTCGGCCTCCACTGCCGAAGACCGGTGAACCTCACCCTTTCCTCCTTCACATTGGCTAGCTAATAAAGTTTTTTTTACCTTGCCTACTTGCCTCATCTCTGGCACCTGCTCCGGTGGTCGCATAAAACAAATCATAGAGTTCAGTCAGACCCACCCACTCACCCCTTTCCCACATTCATGCTAGGGAGTAATAGTTTGACGGCATTTTTTTTTTCCTTCCTTCCTCCTAGTTTCAGACTAGCTGATAAATCACCTAAAATGTGACCCATCCATTATCTTCATGCTCCTGACATGCGTGATAAAAAGAACAACGTATAGCCAATAGATAGATTATATTAACGAACCAATGTAAATTCTTGGTTTAAAAATTTTAGGAACTGCACTCTTTTTTTTTTTTCTTTAAAAACCCACTTGCAAGTGCTGAAAAGCTGCATTCCTCCATCGTGGTCTGAATAAACTCTCTACTTATATCTCAGTTTCTTCCTTTAGGTTAACAGGTGACAGTGAGTAAGCACTGATTATATCAGTAGGTCTGACTGTTCTGGAGATGTAGCTTCAAGCCACAATCCCAGTTTTCTAATTCCACCTACCTCTATGAGAGTGAGAGACCTGAAGACTTATTTATCCATCCCCCTTGTGTCTGAGACTGTTCTGGATGCCTCTATAGAGAGCTAAATGTTAAGCTTCATTTGTTTTTTGTTTAGGTGGAAAAACTATAAAACAGATATATCTGTCTCTTGCAGAGTAAAGTAATTCTGAAAGCATAACTCATGTTAACCCAAAATACCCGAGACAGGTCTCAGTCAATTTGGAAAGTTTATTTTACCAAAGTTAAGGACACACACGTGACACAGTCTGAGGAGGTCCTGATGATATATGCCCAAGGTGGTCGGGGCACAGCTTGGTTTTGTACATTTTAGGGACGTTAATCGATATATGTAAGATGTATACTGGTTGGGTCCAGAAAGACAGAACAACTCAAAGCAGGGAGGGCACTTTCAGGTCATAGGAAGATAAGAGACAAACTATTTCATTCTTTTGAGTTTCTGATTAGCCTTTCCAAAGGAGGCAATCAGATCTGCGTTTATCTCGGTGAGCAGAAGGATGATTTTGAATAGAATGTGAGGCAGGTTTGCCCTAAGCAGTTCCCAGCTTGACCCTTTTTTTTTTTTTTTTAGCTGAGTGATTTTGGGGTCCCAAGATTTATTTTCCTTTCACATGTAGATGAATTATTATGCTAATCCAAGAATGAGAATTCAGAGAAACAGAGAATTTGGGAAAAAAAAAAAAAAAAAAAAGCACACACACACACAGAGGAAACTTGGCCTTCCGCAGAACAAAATTGAAAAATAAATGAGGCCGGGCGCGGTGGCTCACGCCTGTAATCCCAGCACTTTGGGAGGCTGAGACGGGCAGATCATGAGGTCAGGAGATCGAGACCATCCTGGCTAACACGGTGAAACCCCGTCTCTACTAAAAAATACAAAAAACTAGCCGGGTGAGGTGGCGGCGCCTGTAGTCCCAGCTACTTGGGAGGCTGAGGCAGGAGAATGGCGGGAACCCGGGAAGTGGAGCTTGCAGTGAGCTGAGATCCGGCCACTGCACTCCAGCCTGGGCCACAGAGCGAGACTCCGTCTCAAAAAAAAAAAAGAAAAGAAAAATAAATGAAAAGCAATTGCTTGAGAAAGAGTCTTAGAAAACCATTAACACTTTGGTTTAAGAATTAAGAAACACTTTGTTTT